CTAGGATCCCCCAAATATAGTTTTGTCGCCGGTTTTAGGCCACTTATTTTTCATCCCTTGGCTTTTTCAACAAAAAAAGAAAACATTTGCAAAAAGGAGCGGTATTCTGTCTGAAAGTTGTGGGGGCACCGCCCGCACGGCCCCAGAGTTGGGGGGGGGGGGCAAGCTGCCACCACTGCCCCCTCCCCCCGGTTCCCGCGCCTATGGAGAAACTACCGGGTTTACTAGCTTCCTTCATAAAGTGTCGTCATGTCTTATCGTCACCCGAGAAGGTCTTATTGCATAAATATCGATTGAGCTGTCAAGTTAACAAACTTGCTGTGGCAGCCTGACCTGACATGACCCGGCAACTTTTCATTCACGGAATATGCGCAATAAATTTTTTAGGAAAACTCCCTGAGTTTTCGTTGAAAAAAAAAACTTGTTTTGTTTCGTAATTGTACAAGAAGCATATGAGGGACCTTTTTGTCCCTTCCTGCGAAACGGTAAAAGACTTATTTCGGTCACAGCTCAGGCCAATCTCTAAGGGTCAGTCGGGTCACTTATTTCTTAAAAGGGTCCTTACGGCATCCAAGGACCAATTCCGGCTTTTGAGTGCGCCACATCAGCATTTGATGCTACGACAGATGTCGAAATCTGAATATATGTTACAGGCCGTATGAAAATTCGGTCCGTTTGCAAACGGCCTGGCCCAGTCAGGCCATATGAAACTACCTGAAAACACCGGCCGTTTGCAAACTATGACCTGAAATATCAGACCGTTTGAAAACGACCTAGTTGGTTTCGGCATAGCGGATCCAGGGGGGCCACGGGGTCATGCCCCCAAGCCTGAAAGGGGAACAACATATATTTTTTGTCCCCAAAAACACTTAAGAAAAATGAATGTGAGAAGGGCGTAGTAGGTAGAGAGAAAATACCGTATCATTAAAAATCTGTGAGCTTGATAAAAGTGTTGGTCTTGTCTTCACCCAAGAAGTTCTTATTACAGACTTTAACCATGGATGAAAGAACCTTCATCCCCTGGTTCTCCTTCATCCATGCTTTAACTCTCGATCGACGTGTGAAGTTATCGTGTAAGGTATCATGAAGCCGATCGCGACGAAACTTTAGTACCCTCATGGTGACAAAGTCTGAAAATTTCATGACCCTGACCCAAGTGAACTTTGACTTGTGGCCTATTTCTCGAGACTATCCGTGCGTTCGGAGAGCATGGAATATTCACCGTCCCCGGGAATATTCCCCGTGCCGCGTTCGGAGGCGTATCTCTCTGAACGGCTAATCTCCGGAAATATTCCGCGCGCATGGAATATTCAACGGATTCCACGTGGAATGTGCCTCTCCGAACGCACCATATGTTTGGCCATGTTGGAGGCCATGTTTGGCCGGAATAGCGATTCGGCGTATGTCGGCTCACATTATCCGCGCTTTCATAGTCTTTTCGTGGTTTAAAACGCTCAAACATGTGATATGATGTTGCTCCCACGCATTAGGGCGGATGCCAATGTCACCTTACGGTCAAGTCAGGTCATTGACCTTTGATGACCTCGGTGCACTTTTCCGAGTTTAACATGTTTCTAGGATGGTCTCGTTTAGCTGATTTTGAATTTAGCATTTTGCAGCCATTTGAACATTTACGAAGTAGTTTTGATGCCTTCGTATCATGTTACGTAGCTGCCAGTGGTAGTGGACACCTGCTATACGGACGCCCATAAGTACCCCTACTGGTTGATCTGACCTGACCTGCCCCGACATGGTCTAAACGCATGAAGACATTATCTATGATCCAAACTAACATGAAATTTGTGATCAGCACAAAAAAAACGTATTACAGCCTTACTTTAGGAGGTTCTGACAGGTCCTGATTTTTCCGTCTTTTGGGTCTGTGACCTGACCTGGGCGGTGTTTCACGGCACGCTGCCAGCCGCTGCCAGCGCTGATGGCACTTTTGGTTTCAATGGAGACATCAACAAGCCTATACCCACAACACTACCGAAGGCTGACCTTAGCTCGCGGAATGCGCTGTCAGCGGCTGTCAGCACGACCGTGAAACACCGCCCTGGAAGGTCAACCAATGACCAAGGACCTTAAAATCGGGTATCATCGGCTTCGTCTCGTCACTCACGGGCAACACGCCTGTTTTTTTTTCCGCGAGCTCTAGCTTAATCAGGGGCCGAACGGCAGGGGGTCCAACCGACACCTCCCAGCCCGCGAAGGCTGCGCCACGCACCGACCCGGAGCGGGCTAATTGGTCGACAAAAGCAATTTGAAGTGTTTTCAAAGTAATATTTAGGCTCGGGTTGGGCGGGCTACCATTTCTATATTTTTTATTTTTAGTTTTAAAAAAATATCGTTTCAGGGCTGTGACGAAAAAATAAGTGGCCTAAATCCGATGAGAAAACAGGATTTGGGGGTACCCTAGGTTTGGTTACTTGCAGGAGTTGGCCCCCCCCAAAACGCAAGTCTGGATCCGCCAGTGAGTCGATTAAGTGTTCATATATGAATATGTGTGAAATTGTATGCATGTGTGCGTCTGTTTGTGCTATGCCACCGTAATGCCCACTGTTCTGTGGTTGGTGGATGTTTGACATAATAATAATAATAATAATAATAGGAAGAACTTTTCAGTTTCTGTAAGGCACACGCGATCCAGTATGAAAAGAGCATGGGTCCCGAAAATTCTTCAGAAACAGAGAAATTATCGCAGCCACCGGCATTTGGGCGATCTGCTCGATCTGATAATGTTCCCCTGAATGTCCTAATTGATCAGTACGAGAATTTCTCTAGAGTTCTCGTAGATAATTTCTCTAGTTTCTGAAGCATTTTCGGGACCCATGCTCTTTTCATACTGGATGGAAATATATGCAAGGCACAAATCCTCAACGCAAGACACCTTTTTCGGGACGAGAAATAGAATATCTTTGCCTAGGGTGATCGTTGGGCTGTAAAAGCTCCTGATTTATGCTCGTCTCAGCCCAAGCTACGGAACTGCTATTCCAGTTCAAAACCCATGTTAAAAAGTGAACTATTTCCTTTAACGTTGTAGATCAACACATGCCCATTCATCGCGCCCGTGAAAAGCTATACCGCCGTTTTAAACTTTCGAGATCTTTGCTTTTGGTTTAGCCCTACTTGCCACTTGCCAGCCTGTTGTAAAGCAAGCCTGGAAAGTCTTTTTGCACTAATCCCGCTCAGTGAGCCACATTGCTGTATATTTAGGCCTAATATAGCGCTCCGCTCATTCATTTTCTATTAGGCACCTTCTGCTGATGCTGTTATGGTATGTCAGGGAGCTAATGGAGATAGGCGCAGTCATCAACACGGCACAATGCGCGCCCCAGAGGCGGCCCCTGGCCAGGGTCCGTACAGCAGCGAGCAGCGGCCCGGCGGAAATACGAACACCGGCACGAATGGTGCGGAGATTGCGCCAGAGCCGCGGCCCAAAATACAGCCGGAGGACGTCCCGCGGAGCCGCGCGGTGTCGTCTGCACGGATTTCGACACCGTTATCAATATCCGCTGCACTATAGGCGGAGACGGCGCTCGCAGCCGCCTGTCTCAACGATGGTATTGTGGTACACGACGTGGTCGCAAAGGGATACAACTATCAACTTTTCTTCTTTTGGAGCGGACAATAGAAATGTAACTGTAAATTTAATTTTAGGACAATGATGTTGACGTAAGCTCTTTGCACTTGTGTTGCCTGTCAGCGATGCCTGAAGCGGAGTTCAAGATCTATCGAGAAACGGCAAGACATCTAACATGCCTTGAAGTATTTTGACGATGCTACTACCGATCATACCACTTAAAGGGACCCTCCCACCTTCAAAAAAAGTTAATGAATTGGCACGAAAGTGATGTCGCTCGGTTCAGAAAGAGCGAAAACGAATATCTACCAAATTTCATCGAAAAATATTAACCGGTTTTCAAGATATTAGACTTTTACTTTTGTTTACTTTTTGGGATCTCCGCTGTTCCTAGCGACTTTATTTGAAAGTGCGGCATTTGTTGCGCGCAAAGCAGCATATACCACCGCGTGCTACCAAACGTTTTAGTAAAAGATTTAAAAATCGTTAGATCTCCGCTGACGTCACAAATTCTAAGGGGGCATACCAATGCACTAGCCCCTTAGAATCCGAAAACTGCAAGTTTGAAATTCCATATCTCCGAATTAAAGCATTTGTCGATGTTGTGAGTGCCCGAACCGGTATTTGCAGGCCATGGCCACCAATTTGGCTATCTCAACTCAAAACTAATGTTAAGGTGGGAGTGTCCCTTTAAAGATGATTGCACTTTAAAGCTGATGCATTGCACTTGCTTATGCCACCATTACCTAAAAGCTAGTTTAAATAAAGTGATTTGTTCCGCGAGGTAACATAGCTCCCTTTCTGTCATATCTGCCAGGCCCACATGCCGAGTCGGAGGCACAAATTTCCCTCACTCATCTGCTCCGAATACGATTCCCGGAGGAACCGTTAGAGGTGAAATGAACACACCGAGGCGCACGTGGCTCATAAAGACACCGGCTGTAGGAAGCCTCGGAAACCAAAGTTCATGTCTCGCTTGTTTGTTTACGCCGAGAAACGTCTGACCATTCGTTAACTCTTGACGACGCATATGGCTTTATTGAGTGACAACCTTACTTGACTTCACATTGATTGAGTCTATATCGGTTGCTTTTTTATAACGGATTCTTAGCAGTAGTTGATATTTTTACTGTTTCGTATAAAGATCCAGTCAAGAGGCGACTACTTTGCTGAAAAAAACAATACTGCCTTTTTTAGATAGTTTAATATATACGAACATTTAAAAGACTTGTAATATTGTAGCAATGCATAATACAGATTCTATCATTTCCTACCCAAAAATAAGATATAATCACCAAATTTAGACGGAAACTATGAGAACGCTTACATCGGCTTCTTAGCATTTACGTGGGCTTCGATCACGTTTAGCAATTAACAGTATGGTATGGCTTACACGGACGACATCGTCTGTACTCACAGTAGGTCTCATTGAGCAGCTGGTCCATTGTTTCCTGCTTCAGCTTGGAGTTTTTCTTCCCCATGATCACAAAATAAGACGAGAATGCTGTCTAACAGGACCGGTTGACGTCGTTGTTTGAGGCGGGATCACTGGTTCACGTGGTCAAGCTGATCAGCTGGTCCGCATTCACAAACTCCCTCCCCTGGTCTGCGGCTCCTGTCCCGCCGCTCCGCCCGTGCGTTCTCCGGTCGGCTGTGTTGACTGACGGGCTGGCACAGGCCCTGTCCGGTCCTGCCCTCAGGTCAGAGGTGGTTGCCGTCCCGTCAGCGCCGCCCACCGGGTCCGTACCGCCGCCGCCGCCGCACGGAGGCACACTGATTCACCGTGAACGGTCGGACGGCGGACGGGGCGAGGCGGCGGCGGCGGCGGCGGCGGCTGCGCACAGCTCCCTACAGCTGCACTGTGAGACAGCACTGCGTCCTCACACACACCGCTGCCTGAAAACGCCTGACTACGACGGCATATTGCAGTCGTCTGTCCACAAAAAGGCAGCAGTTCCGCCCCAGACTCACAGCAGTGTGCTATTTGCAGTTCGGCTATTCTAAATCCCGAAACCGATAGACAAAGGCTCCCAACTGCCAATAACAGAAACACAGAGACGCAATAGAGACGGATAGAATAGAAGAAGGGCGCATCTTTTGTCAGAGAGAAGCTGACAAAAGATATCCCATGTGGCTTATTGCTGCGGCATGCTTTGTCATTCCAACTCCATTGGTGACTCAGCGAATGCCTGTTCTTACATTTAGCTTGGCTATACAACAGTGTGTGATATTAGAATGGTTCACAAAAAAGCAATTAACTCTGGAATGTGGCAAATGGTGACAATTGGGTCCGCCTTCCGCCTCTCTGAAACAGGAATATTTTTTGTAACATACGCAAAGGTGTAGTAGGCATGCCAAATTGCATCGTGGCTTGCCAGTTAGCAGCAATACCTTCTAGATTTATTCCATTTTAGGGAGCTAAATAACAAGCAACACTTGTTTGCACTACGTTAAAAAACATTCGAGGGTACCTTACCCTTACCTCAAAACATCGTACCAAATGACAATACCACACTCTGCGCAGACCTTGGTCCATTCTTTGCCCGGGACTTGATGTGCTCTACGTCAAGTGTCTGACAACCGTTAAGTTAGCGTGAGTTATGTGCTGTTGGAGGCTAAAAGAAGCAGATACTGCCCAATGGCTAAGAGGCAGGGCAAGACGAGAGCTATCCCGTACCAAGGGGAGGGGGATCATATCACTTGATCCTTGGGAGGGAGGGAGAGAGAGAGAGAGAGAGAGAGAGAGAGAGAGAGAGAGAGAGAGAGAGAGAGAGAGAGAGAGAGAGAGAGAGAGAGAGAGAGAGAGAGAGAGTGAGTGAGAGAGTGAGAGAGAGAGAGGGAGAGGGAGAGAGAATGAGGTAGAGGAAGAGGGAGAAGGAGGAAGAGAGGACTAAGAGCGATGGCAGCAAGTTGATTGCTCGGCCCGGCCAGCCGCTCTGTGGACTCGCCGCGCTGGGTATACTATCCCGTAGGACAGCAGGGCACTGCGGCACAGCCTATCATTCAAGTGAGACATGCAGCCAAATTGGCCTGTGTAAACGCCGCCGCTCTGAGCTCCTGCATTCTGCCGCCGCGATGGAAAATGTCACCGTGTGAATAAAAACGATAAAGAAGTAGCTATACAAGCTAGAAGAGGCGGGTATATTTAATGCAAACGCCGAAATTACTCAGCACAAAAAGGTCGGGACGCGAAACGCGTGTAATGTTTAGGCGGTGGTCAACAAAAAGGCATAACAATATTAACTATTCATGTTTAGCCACGACGCAATCTCATCTGAGCCCAAGCCGTGGCCTGAATTCGCATAATTTAGCCACATACACATATATTTGTTTCTGTGATACCTACTAAAAGGCAAGAAATAATAATTTACCCAGCGCCTGGTTTAGAAGCTTCAAATTATCCTGTGTCATCAGCACATGGGCCCGATCCATTCAGTTAGCCTTCGATAGGAACAGTTTGATCTACTCATTTATAGAGTGGCCAAAGACGGGGCCGAATCTTTCCACGCGGAGGCTGTGCAATGTGCAGTGCATGGGTACGATCCGGTGCGGCTATACGCGCGGTCCGATCGGGCACACAGCGGCTGTACAGTGTACATACACGGGTACGCGGCGGTACATATACAGCATACACGGGTACGATCCAGTGCGGCTATACGGCATACGCGCGGTCCGATCGGGCTCACACGGCACGCGTCGCTCGCCAGTCGCCACCGGCTCGCCGTATATCGTCCATCAGCGCCTCCTGCCGACCGGCAGACAGCCAATCACCATTTACCGGCCGCCGGTGCCGCGGCCGCCTCCTCCCGGTGCCGCGGCCGCCTCCTCCTCCCGGTGCCGACCACTCTGTCCAGCACTCCGGCTCTCTGCTTCTAGCTGCGTCCACTCCTCACGGCGCCCGGCTCTCTTCGATACCGCTGCCCGCTCTGTTCGCTACTCTAGCGCGCTCCCTCCTCCTGCCTCTCTTTCTGCACTGAAAACAAAGCGACACAGTGAGGGCATGTTCTGTACTGGTAACACATCAGTCATGTGTTAATCGCACACAAAACACAATAAGGCTGTGTATTTTCACGCTTGGCGGGACCTTCGACACGTTTGATAACACAGAAAACAGAATAATGACACACTTTTCTCGTGCCAAGCACGCTGGACGAATGTAATGCATCAGTGTATCGAAATCATGTGTTGTCGGATATGGTAGACGTGTACCCTTACACAAATATACCGTGCCATCCACCATTGAGCGACCTCTGAACCTTAACTTCAGATGGGGATAACAGAGGGCGTTTTTCGAGCACCGACTTTTATGCTGCGTTTTTGTAAAAATTTGCCAAAGTTTTTTGAGAAAGGTCAAAATGCACAATACAGCCGAGGGAGTCGATACATGATAAATTGTCTAAAGCAATATGCGCTGATTACATCAAGTGCAAGCTGAAGCATAGCTAATTAACGTCTCTTGGAGGAAGAAACTCCTCGGTCTATATAGGATATATTTGAAAAATCGGTGGCCAAAAAAAATCACAGGCTAAGGTGATCGTTAACTTGCTCCGGCAGTTGGCATTTCACGGGTTTGTTTTGAGAGCTTCTCCTGCACCTACCCACCCACTTCCCACCAGTTTTTTCCAATCGTCCCAATCCCTGACCCATTACTGTCCACAACCGCACTCCGTTTGCCCCATCATGGGGAAGCGGCGCCGTCAGCGCGCGCTATCCGATTCCTATACCGACTCTGACTCCGACTCCCCTCCAGTTCCGGATCCTACCCCTGACCCTACTCCTCCCTCTGCCATGGATACCGACTCCCGCCCGTCCGTCAACCCTCCCTCCTCTACCCACCCTTCGACTGATCTACCCGGTACCGACCCTCGCTCGTCCACTGACCACGCCCTGACCGCTGACCTGACCTCTGACCCCGCCCGGCACTCTGACCCTCGCTCGTCTACCGACCTCGCCCGGAGCCATGACCCTCGCCCGTCCACCGACCACTCCCGGAGCTCTGACCCGCGCACGAACTTGGCCAACGCACCTGCCTGTGCTTCTGTCGATCGCTCTCCACTCGAACCGTACTTGTCTCTCGACGGCTCGTTTCTGGTTGTGAAGGCTCTCGATAGTGACTTCTCGTTCAGGAAGATTAACGTTTTCTGGCCCCAGAAGCAGATCGCTGCTATCTGTGGACAGTATGACTCAGACATCGAGGCTCCAGCAAACGGCACGCTAGTCATCAAAACGCACAATCGGAAAGACACAAAGGCTCTCCTGAAGACGACTGAGTTCTGTGGCAAGAAGGTGACTGTTTCGCTCCACCAGGCTCGTAACTCTTCCAAAGGCACGATTTTCGCCCCCGAACTCCGTCACATGTCCGAAGCTGAGATCATGTCCGAGTTGAGGGGAGAGGGTGTGTCACACATCCGACGCCTGACGACCTTCCGCGATGGCCAGCGACGGGACACTAGCCTGCTCGTCCTCACCTTTGAGACCACGACCCTGCCCGAAAAGATAGCAATCGGTTGGCTCAAAAAAGATGTCAGAGTGTTCATCCCAAATCCACTCCGGTGTTTCAAGTGCCAACGGTTCGGACATGGCAGCTCCACTTGTCGCCAGGCTGCTCGCTGTCAGAGATGTGGTGAGGCTCCTCATGAGAACTCCGAATGCACTAAGCCAGTTTCATGCCTGAGCTGTGGTAGCACAGATCACTCTGTCTCCTCCTCACAGTGCCCCACGTGGCAGAAAGAAAAACGCATCTGCGAAATCAAGGCTAAGTCCGGCTGCTCTTATCCCGACGCCCGCCGACGCGTGGAGGCAGAGGCTGCCACTCCGGCTCCTGGTCGGTCTTATGCCAAGGCCGCCACTACTCAGACCACTTCGTGCAGTACACAGACGGACCCGATCTCGGCACTTCCCCCTCTGCAGTGTCTGAAGCCCTTGAATGCGTCGACGACCACATCCACAAACACCAGCGACGCGACCGAAACCATTTTTGGTGACCCGATGCCTTCCTCCCCTCCCGACACACAGCCCGAGGTCTCCCAGGAGATCGGCCGACAGCCAAAGCCCTCTACCGGAGCTGCTCGCTCCACGGCAGCCTGGACAAAAGTCCAGCGCTCGAAAGGACCCCGCCCCCAGCCCCCAGCAGAGGATAGACAGTCCTCAGGCACACGCACGTCACGTCCACCTGTCAGAGTGTCAATGGGCCACAACCGTGCGTCAAGTTGGGCTTCGCCCCGCCGTGGTGTGACTAACAAATACTCTCTCTTAGAACAACAATAAACAGCCTACTCCAGTGGAACTGCCGAGGCCTAGTCTCGAACTGGGCCGAAAGCAAAATGTTCTTTTTACTTCTAGCGCCTATCGTTATTGCTTTGCAAGAAACTTGGCTTCTCCCAACAGACCCTTACAACTTTTCTTTATTCAACTACTCTTTGTACCGGTACGATGAAACTGATGGTGAGCGGCACCACGGTGGCACCGCTTTATACATTAGTAACGATTATGTTCATGATCACGTAATACTCAACACTCCATTGCAAGCTGTAGCTTGTACAATAAAAATGAACGGAAGGAACATTGACGTTTGCTCCATTTATATTCCTCCAAACACGGATAATAGCACATTGTATAGGAACCTTACTAACCTTATTTCGCAATTCAAACATCCATTTCTACTGCTCGGCGACTTTAACGCTCATAACCCGCTTTGGGGTCGTGACGCGTTAATAGCAGACGAACGGGGTGATATCGTCGAGCGATTTCTGGATGATCACCAGCTCGTTCTTCT